TACTATCAAGCCTCTGCAACTGATCCAGAATGCAGCAGCGAGACTTCTCTGCAAACGGCTCCACTGTTAAAACGACATACTACCACAACAAAATTAACAAATGCTCTGACTCTCGCACACTTTTCAAAACTTTCTCTTCTCTTCTGTCCTCCTCCCCCCTCCTCCTTCATCAACTCTTACAGCTGATGACTTTGCAATATTCTTCATAAATAAAAGAAGAACCATAAGTGACCAATTCCCCACACCACAAACCGCTGATAACATTATAATGACAAATACACACACTCTCTCTCCACTCTCGGAGACAGACGTTTCCAAACTTATCCTTTCCAATCATCCTACTACCTGTCCACTTAATCCTATCCCCACTCACCTCCTTCAGGCCATTTCTTCTTCAGTCATACCTTCGCTTACTCACATTATCAACACCTCTCTTCACACTGGCATATTTCCCACAGTGTTTAAGCAGACTTGGGTAACCCCACTGCTTAAGAAACCCCCTCTAAATCCAGCACTTTTAGAAAATTACAGACCAGTATCCCTTCTTCCATTCATTGCAAAGACACTTGAGCGAGTTGTGTTCAACCAACTCTCTATGTTCCTTGCACAGAACAACCTCCAATCTGGCTTCAAAAGCATCCACTCAACTGAGACTGCCCTGCTCTCGGTTACTGAAAGCCCTGAGACTGGCAAGAGCAGCTTCCAAATCCTCAGTATTCATCTTGCTGGATCTGTCTGCTGCTTTTGACACAGTTAACCAGATCCTCCTGTCCACCCTCAGAAAGATGGGCATCTCAGGAACCGCACTCCAGTGGATCAAGTCTTACCTCTCAAGTAGGTCTTTCAGGGTGTCTTGGAAGTGTGAGGTTTCTAAATCACAACTTCTTGCTACTGGGGTTCCTCAAGGCTCAGTGCTTGGACCTCTTTTCACCATCTACATGTCATCATTAGGATCTGTCATTCAGTTGCATGGATTTTCTTATCACTGCTATGCTGATGACACTCAACTCTACTTCTCATTCCAACCAGATGATCCGACGGTAGCTGTTCGCATTGCAGCCTGTCAGAGACATTTCTAGCTGGATGAAGGACCATCACCTTCATGCGTACCCATATTTTAATCTCTTTAACCTATAGTTGCGCCGGCGCCAATGAAGTCATGAAGTTAACGCGCTTCTAATTCAGTATTAATGTGCACCCAGAACGACCGCAGACGAGGCATTAAGTGCATGCACTGCGACCAACTTTACATTTTACAGAGTTTGATGTGGTTTAATGTGTCAGTTTTTCTAGATCAGTTTTAATCATGTAATAGATTTGAACAAAGAAATCAATTGCTACACAAAGGCAATATTGGCCATGACTTGATAGCAAATAATAATACAAAATTAGACGAATAAAGAAAATGCGGTACTTATTAAAAGAATCACCCTTTTATTTAAATATATGAAAACAGGAAACTGCTGTTAACAAGTTATTGTAACATTTCCCATTCAATGACTAGGCAAATAATGGCAACTTGCTGTCTGGATAATATTGAACATGGTTCTTCTGAGATATATCCATCTGCAGACCCGCAGCATGGATACTATTGGTTCTTCTTGGAGTAGTGCGGCCGCACGCTGTGTCTTCTTCTTGTGTGATAGGTGTCAGCGTTAAGGCGAAATACTGCCACCTGGGAGGTCAACCAGGTACTGGCGCTGGAGTAGGCTATTTGCGTGTCGTGTTATCATAAGTGTCCTGTTCATTTTAAATATCATGGTTATCGCCAATACCGGTATATCGTCACACCCTAAATTAACACGATGTCGATATTTCATGATTTGAATATCACGGTTATCGTCAATACCGGTATATCACGACACCCCTAATCCAGACCAGCACACACTGCCCCCTGGCTGTCCGATGTTCTCTGTGAACATCGCTCTAGACTCAGGGCTGCAGAGAGGATATGGCACAAATAAAAAAAACTCTACCGACCTTAGTGTGTATCAGTCACTTCTCTCTTCCTTCTCTGCAAACGGCTCCACTGTTAAAACGACATACTACCACAACAAAATTAACAAATGCTCTGACTCTCGCACACTTTTCAAAACTTTCTCTTCTCTTCTGTCCTCCTCCCCCCTCCTCCTTCATCAACTCTTACAGCTGATGACTTTGCAATATTCTTCATAAATAAAAGAAGAACCATAAGTGACCAATTCCCCACACCACAAACCGCTGATAACATTATAATGACAAATACACACACTCTCTCTCCACTCTCGGAGACAGACGTTTCCAAACTTATCCTTTCCAATCATCCTACTACCTGTCCACTTAATCCTATCCCCACTCACCTCCTTCAGGCCATTTCTTCTTCAGTCATACCTTCGCTTACTCACATTATCAACACCTCTCTTCACACTGGCATATTTCCCACAGTGTTTAAGCAGACTTGGGTAACCCCACTGCTTAAGAAACCCCCTCTAAATCCAGCACTTTTAGAAAATTACAGACCAGTATCCCTTCTTCCATTCATTGCAAAGACACTTGAGCGAGTTGTGTTCAACCAACTCTCTATGTTCCTTGCACAGAACAACCTCCAATCTGGCTTCAAAAGCATCCACTCAACTGAGACTGCCCTGCTCTCGGTTACTGAAAGCCCTGAGACTGGCAAGAGCAGCTTCCAAATCCTCAGTATTCATCTTGCTGGATCTGTCTGCTGCTTTTGACACAGTTAACCAGATCCTCCTGTCCACCCTCAGAAAGATGGGCATCTCAGGAACCGCACTCCAGTGGATCAAGTCTTACCTCTCAAGTAGGTCTTTCAGGGTGTCTTGGAAGTGTGAGGTTTCTAAATCGTAACTTCCTACTACTGGGGTTCCTCAAGGCTCAGTGCTTGGACCTCTTTTCACCATCTACATGTCATCATTAGGATCTGTCATTCAGTTGCATGGATTTTCTTATCACTGCTATGCTGATGACACTCAACTCTACTTCTCATTCCAACCAGATGATCCGACGGTAGCTGTTCGCATTGCAGCCTGTCAGAGACATTTCTAGCTGGATGAAGGACCATCACCTTCAACTCAACCTTGCTAAGACAGAACTGCTCGTGGTCTCCGCCAACCCAGCACTTCGTCACAACCTCTCTATACAGCTGGGTTCGTCAACCATAACTCCTTCCAGTACAGCCAGGAACCTTGGAGTTGTGATCGATGATCAGTTAAGCTTCACAGACCACATTGCTACAACGGCTCGGTCGTGCAGGTTTGCCTTATACAACAATAGGAAGATTAGACCCTTCCTATCAGAGCAAGCTGCACAACTCCTTGTCCAAGCTCTTGTTCTCTCCGGACTGGACTATTGTAATGCTCTCTTGGCGGGCCTTCCCTCATGTACTATCAAGCCTCTGCAACTGATCCAGAATGCAGCAGCGAGAGTGGTCTTTAACAAGCCGAAAAAAGCGCACGTTACAACTTTCTTCATCAGTTTACAATGGCTACCATTAGCTGCTCGTGTCAAATTCAAGGTACTGATGTTTGCCTACAAGACAACAACTGGCGCTGCGCCAATATACCTAAACTCGCAAGTTCAAACTTATGCGCACTCCAGAAGCTTGCAGAACGACGCCTTGTGGTGCCATCCCAAAGAGCCACAAAATCACTCTCACAGACCTTTTCCTGGACTGTGCCCAGCTGGTGGAATGACCTCACGATCTCAATTTGAACAGCTGAGTCTTTGGCCATTTTTAAAAAACATCTAAAGACACATCTTTTTCGCCAGCACCTGACCAAGTAATACTAGCACTAACTTATTCTGTTCGATTCCATTCTATTAAAGAAAGCCCTAGCTATGTGTACTGTGCTAGACTAACTGAGAGTTGTTACAGCACTTGTATACTGTTGCTCTCTCGTTGGTCTGATTGCTTCTATTGTTCTCTCATTTGTAAATCGCTTTAGATAAAAGCATCTGCTAAATCATTAAATGTAAATAGTTTTTCTTGTGGTATAGCACTGTTACAATACCTACATTGCAGACAGTGAATGAACTTGAGTTTTCTGTTTACGTCAACTGCTCAGTACTCTGCTAATATCAATGCTATAACCCATTTCAGGTGCTGCCAAAATGACTATTTAAAATCTGAATATGAGCAGAGCTCACTCACATTCATTAAACATTGAAATGTTAGGGCTACTGATTCAAGACAGTAGTGAGTGAATGTCAGAGTGCAGTTTGACCATTTTATTTGTTTTTCTCAGTCGCTTTAGTGCATTTCTCAGATCAGAAGTGAAAATTCTCAAAATTACTTGTTCAACCTCCACATCATGTAGTCACTTGTGCACATCATAAAAGCAATTTCTCATGGTTTTGAACCGATTTGAAATGCTTTGGTCCAGTCATACAATTTGACTATATATGCCAGGGGTGGCGAACGTCGGTCCTGGAGAGCCGCAGCCCTGCAGAGTTTTGCTTCAACCCTAATCAAACACACCTGAACAAGCTAATCAAGGTCTGAAGGGTTACTAGAAAGCTACAGGCAGGTGAGTTTTAATTAGGGTTGGAGCTGAACTCTGCAGGGCTGCGGCTCTCCAGGACCGGAGTTCGCCACCCCTGATATAGGCTGTTTTCTACATTATCAGTTGCTTATATCGTGTTGATCAAAATATCAGTCTTACCTCTCAAAACATGTAGGCATTAGTTCCTTGCATAAGTCATTAAATGCAGAATGGTTGAACTAGTTGTCATAAATGGTCAAGCATATTTTCCACACATTTCTGTTTGACTTTTTGTAAATGTGCCCTGAATTGATTAATTGTGGAGGTGAATCTTGACTTCACTAATGAAGGGAATGTAAAGTGTTAGATCAACCAATGATCAACATGTTCACTAAAATAGCTCAAAGGTGCGTCTCATGAACCTTCAATTGGCAAGCATATATAGGCAGAGCACAACACAGTGTTACAAATTCTGACAATGGATGAACAACCAGGAAACAAACAGGGTCAACAGCCGAGATGAAGAAGAGGAGTAAGAATGGAAGTGTGGAAGAGTACGGAGGTAAAACAGAGGACATAGGTACATATCAGATTAAATAAGGGCCACTATTGTGGACCATGTTGTCAATCATGGCTGTGGTGGGCCGAAGGGTCCAGCCGAATATTAGGAGATTGACCGTGTCCTCAATAATTCAAACATTTCTCAGCGAGAATGGGTATGTCCACCAATGTGCAATGTACTGTTATACTTACTGTAATGCTTCATAATACAGTAGTCCACTTGTATTTTACAGCATACAGCAAATATACTTTATACAGATACATACTGCAACCCAAAAACACAAATGTATTTTTTCTTTTTAATAACTTATCTTTCTATGTCCATTTTTTTTTTTCGCGTGAAAAATAATTTTTTGGTCTACTGCATTTCCCCCCATAGGACTGCTAGATCAGCTCACAGGGGTGGCAGAGGAGCCTATTTGCACCATGGTCAGTAGAGTTGTGGTACTCGGACTCGAGTACAACTTTTAGCAGACTTGGACTTGTCACAGACTCAGATGTATTTTTACCCGGACTTGACTCAGACTCGAGCTTTTGGGAGTCCAACCGAGTCCAGGGACAAATTGGCGGAAATGTCACCGACTCAATGCATTATCACAAAAGTGATATTCAGTATTTGCATGTGTTTTTTTAAAAGTACTTGAAAGCCGATGGGTTTCTGTGCGCACACACCCAAAGCGCGCTCACCGAAAGCGCCTCTCAGTCAGTGTTATTGCTACATACACAAAATTAATATCAAAACGCCCTTCTTGGAGACTATCAGTGGTGGAAAGAGTACTGAAAAAATATACTCAAGTAAAAGTACCATTACCTTCCAAAAAATTTAGTGCGAGTAGAGTAAAAATACTTATTAAAAAGTAGCCTATTTAAAAGTACTTATGAGTAATGAGTAGTGAGTACTGCGCTGTGGATTCTACCCCCTCATAATAAACGTTGTACATTCTGTAATTCACATTATCTTGTTTGTCATAAAGAATGAAGAGTATCTATCATCCAGCAGTTTTAATTTTGACTGTCAACTCTTTAAAATACATCAAAACAGCACGGAAACAGTATTCAGTCGAAGAAAAGATGAAAGTTATTCTCAGTACAATCATCCCCATTTAAATCATAAAGTTTGAAAAAATAGATTTAAAATCATGTGTAAGGCCACTGAGACAGCACGCTGTTGTTGCAAATAAAATATTAATGTTTAGAACAGTGCAAATACAAACACCATTAGAAACTCATAGTTCAGCATCACACACCATGATATGGGTTAAAATGAGAGCCCATTTCTCTCCAAAACTGTGCCAGTTTTAGCGTTTTGCCAATAAAGAAAAAAGAATAACTAAACTTGATAATTTATTACAATTTTTTACAAATGCACATTGTTCTAGAAGGATGGCATCATGCCATACCTTTTACACATTTACTTGAATTGTTGAATAATAATAATTCATTAAATTTTTTAATATAGCACTTTTCTAGGCACTCAAAGCGCTTTACATTATCAGGGGGTATATCCTCATCCACCACCAGTGTGCAGCATCCACCTGGATGAGCCATAACCAGAGTTATGCTGATCATACAATTTGTAAGGAAAAATGCATTAAATAGCGAAGTATTTCTGGGGAAACTTTTTCAAAGGAAAACACACACACACGCATGTCTCTTTGCTGAGCCGCGGCGGTCTCCGTGAATCAGCAGCATCCACAACTGAATGGAACAAAAAGTGTTGAACTTGAACATTGTTTATGTGCGAGTGCACTTACTAATTGAAGGCGGATAAAATGGATACATTTAAAAAAAAAAAAAACGTTTATTAACGAGTTGCAGTTTTATTACATCACACACTGGCACAGATGCAGTATATTAACGCCACGGGTCATCAATAAGGTGCAGATTGGTCCTCAATTTGTGTTTCCAACACACTTTTTCACAGCGTGCATCACGCACTCAAACTCATCAAAAGTCAACAAGTTCAACAACAACTTATCCAAGTGACTGCTGCAGAACGCACGCGAGAGAGAGACGAGGCAGTGGGGCAGATCGCGCGTCTCATAAGTGAGTGGAAATTTACCGAACGTGGCACTTACAGAAGTTAACACAATACCCGCAACCTCACACCAAATTTCAGGCCGTGTAGATAGGCAAGCATATATACAAATCACTTAGTAAGCAGAAATCCCAAATTTACCTTAACATATTAAGTTAGAGCCTAGAAAGATGCGACTGAATTGATGCTTGAAGAATGCACTTCCAGCAGCCATGATAAACAGTTGGCGGTTTATGATAAACGATGCGCAAAACTCCGCATTTGAACAGTCGATAGCAAATACTTTAGGGGGCGTGGCAGAGTCTTAACTTTGATAAAGAATATCTCTTTGGTTTTGAGACTTTAGTCTTTGCAACTTCAGGGATCTTATCTATGCACAATCAGCTTGTAACACTCCAAAGAGAAAGGAAAACTTGAAATCGCATCATATGACCCCTTTAAGTGAACCTGAACAGTTGGGAGAAATCACGGATGTGTCTAAATATTTGATCTGTGCGTCAGGTCTTAAAGCGACAGCAGCATAAACCTGCTGCTGCCGACTGCATCATAAATGTTAATCAAACAACAAAAGAAAAAGAGAAAATCACTCACTGCTCTTGACTGAATCACTTTAGTAACTTTAATAAGAATCATTTATATTTAATGCATGCAGTGAAGACTGCTGTGTAGTGTTTTATTTTTACATAATTTACTTCATTAAATGTATGTAGTAGGCTATTTCTGTTGTAGCCTATACTAGCTATATAGACCTATCTGAAAAACGTAAAAAAATTTTGATTAATATATTTATTTATCCTTTTGCTCGTAATTAATAATTAGACTTGCTACTTGCCTTCAATAAGCTTGAGAACATTTTACTTACATTAGTTTAGTATTAGTTTTTGCTGTTGTATTGAAATATTTTTTAAATATGGTGGCCGTTTCTACTTTTATATAAAAAGAATGTTTCTAACAAATTTGTGGCATCTTTGTGGTCAAAACTGTTTTTCTTTAGTGAAAAGTCCTTAGTGTTTAGCCCTGAAGCCCATGTCCACAGTGAAAAATATTTCTTTTATTTATATACTAATTATTACTATAGTAAATAAATATAAATATATGTAGGTGTGGCTCATCTATATAGATGTCACGAAATCCGGTCCGTGGATTTCCATCCGATCGCCATTAGAGCTCACTCGTCCATCATATTGACTCTCTCACTACACTGACTGTTGCACGTCACCACAGACTACATTTCCCATGCACCATTTCACTAATCACACTCTCACCTGAGACCAATCACACACACTACATAACACCCACTCAGTTCCTGCTCTGATCGCCGAGTATTATTTAGCGTATATCTCTGTTTAGCTGATAGCTTCCTTACGGAGCCTGCTTAGTTTTCCTAGCCTTATCTTAGTCTTGCCTTGTCTGTTTTCTCGTGTTCTGATCTTTGCCTGTGTACCTGGATTTATCCCTCTAGTCTCGCCCTATTGGATTATGTTCTCGGTCTCGAATGCTTAAAGACGTGGAATCGATTTAGGTGGACTCGAACCCAACACTACAATTCGTACAAGAAACAAAGATTACCCTATGGATTACCCTATTTATTTTTATTTTACTATTTATTATTTTTTTTATCATAATTTTTAATAGCTAACAATATGTCCCCCCTGTAATGGCTTTTTTGATTTCTCCCAATGTCACAGACTAAGTATACCTACACCTGTCATTCATTTGATACCTTACACACTCTGAGGAAGGCTGAAGGCCAAAATGCGTAAGTGTGCAGTATTTTAGTCACTTTTAATGTTTCAATTGTGATAGTCATAATGTGAATAAAGGTATTTTAACTGTTTTGGACAAGAAGAAGTGCCTTGATTCCTTTCTTATGATAGTTGCTTCAAACCCAACCAAAGAGCACCTTCTGGGATTACTTGGGTCCTTCCAGGAAGTAGTGCTTCAAGATGTTCCCTACAATGTACTGTATTCCTTTAAAAAGTAAGCAGACATATTTTATCCATTTGTATTTGAAAACATTACATTACATTTCTGTCATGACAACTCTCTGAAGGATTGGCATGGTAATGTACATGACAATGTTAATGTATTTGGTCTTGGCAGAATAGATCTGCTACGCTGCTGCTGTGGCAGAGCAAGTACAGAGACTTGCTGCTGCCAATACATCCACAACATGCTGCTGTGAGCATGTAAGAAATATTGCTGCTGCATATATAACATGCATGAAATAACCCCATAGCATACATGAATCACCTCGTAGCAGATCTATACAGGTGGAGCTGGGGAAGGTGGAGGGTTTCTGAAGCAAGCTGCAACTGTTACAGCAAGCACCAGTCATATATTTGAATGTTGAGCAGCGAGCTCATTGGCTGCTGATACATGAGAGAACCAATCAGCTGTGCCATGTGATAATGATGTCATTAGGTCAGATTGAGTTAAACCTATCGGACTGCGCCATCTAGAGTTTCATGCCAGAACTCTGTATTTATTAAGAATTCCCTTTTCACTATGTAAAACACTTTGAGTTTAGTGTAAGAAAAGCCTAAATTGTTTGAATGTACAGGTATTGTCATGGCAATCGAGTACCTTACAACTGAAATCTAAAACCGAAAGTATTTCTGTCAGGTGTCTCTGTTTAAGTTTGGTCATGTGCACAAGTAGAATACTTTCTGTTTCTGTTTATTCTCAGTGACAGTGACCTGATGAGACCTGAAGATCTGAAAATCAGCCACGATTTTGACAGTAAGATTCACATTTATAATTATAATTATATATAAATATATACACATATAATTATATACCAACATTTATACAAATGTGAGTGCGGACAAATGTGTGTGTTTCATGTGGTACTGTTGTTGGAAGAGATCAAAATTAATGGAAGTACAAAGATCACAGCACAAAATATGTGTTTGTTATGTATATCTGCTAAACAAATCTGTTTGATAGGCTGGGAACGACTGAACTAATTAGTGAAGTTAGAGAGATGTAACTGTAATTGTTTGATGTTCTATCATTGCTTGAACCTGCACATGCTATTAAAACACTTTCAGTTTTATGTTCTTTTTTTACTCAGTTCTGTACGAGGACAAGATGACAGATGAATGCATCACAATGGAGTCGGACCTCAGTGAGTTAGATGAGGACATGGAAGAACTGTCAGCACCTGAGTTTACGTGTCACTGTTGCTATGATGTCCTTGTAGATCCTACTACACTTAACTGTGGCCATAGTTTCTGTCGCCATTGTCTGGCAGAATGGTTACATTCCTCTCGACGGAACGAGTGTCCAGAATGCAGAGAGAGATGGCAGGGCTTTCCCAGAATCAACATCCTCCTTCGGTGAGAGAACCATTGCTATCTATGTATAGACGGTTTCAACGGCAACAACATAAACAAACGTTACTGCGCATGCGTGCTTTTGTGGCCTTAACTTAACTTCCGGTAGACTTCCAAATAGAATCAATGACAACAGCTAAGTAGTCCCTTTAGAGTAGATTATTTTTGATAACAAGCAAAATATGTTTGCTGCGTAAATCGGAGGGACTTACTGAAAATGCTAATTAATTCTCTGCCAGCAGGAGGTACTTTAAAGCGGGAGAAACTGAGGTTTCCCCAGTAACGGCTGTACACAAATCAGCACTGAGCTGTGAGCTCACAAACGCTGCTTTATCAGGCATATAACATGCCAGATGAAATGAAAATGACATCGAAAATTTTCTAAAGATAGTCTTCCTTCAGAAATACAGTGAAATAAAAACACAGCGCCTCGTTATGATTTTTAAATGTGCAGTATGTGCTCATGTTTTTTCAACGAAGCCTTTTGGAAAATCTGTAATTTTTGATATTGTGGCGAGCGCCACAAATAAATAAATGTATGGGAAACACATCCCACAGCACAACCACCTGAGCCCAACTTCAGTCTACTCATCACCTTAACTTTAACTGCGTTTGTAGCCGGAGCCATAGCCAGACTGATGAACAAACACAGACCGGAAGTTAACTTCGGGCCATGAGCATGCGCCCGATGAAACCGTCTATATACACACACATAGCTGATTTTTTACAAGAAAATTAGCCAATTCTGATACCGACTGCCAAATTTTTTTGTTTTGTTTTAAGCAACAAACAAGAAAGAATGAAAATATGAGTCAAGTCACGATCTATGAGTATGTCATGATCTAAGAGTATGAGTATATGCTCTATTACAGGCAGAACTATCTGCAGTCATTGAAAATTACAGGCAACCACTGCATTTTAATCACAATCCAAACAAAGATGTTCCCCTCGGAGATACATTCATGTAAACTCCACCTCAATTCAATATTCAGGATTTTCTTCCAATATTATGTGCATGGTGAGCATTAAAGGGGTCCTATTATGCTTTTTCACTTTTTCAACTTTAGTTAGTCTATAATGTTGCTGTTTGAGCATAAAAAAGATCTGCAAAGTTACAAAATCCAAAGTCCACTTCAAAAGGAGATTTTTTATTTAACAGAAATCACTTTTCAAAAACTACAACGAACGACTCATTTGGACTACAACGCATATTTTCCGGGATTTGAGATATCACAAATATCGATGAATGGGACGAGACCTGGTTGAGCTGCACTAGAGAAGACAACGAGTGTTATCACTATGTCTGAGGCACGCTAGCTTTCCCAAGGCAGACGAACTGACAGACGCAATATTTACACTGAAGCTCGCAGGCGGCTATGGTAAGGGGCATGACATTTCCCGATATCACAACACACGCTGCCCCAGCTAACCAATCACAGGACATTTCGTATTTCAGAAGGCGGGCCTTCATTTGATACAGGAACTATTCGAGTTGTTAATGCCAGACTGGAGAGGGAGGTGTTTTAATAATGTAAAATATGTGAAAAATAATGTGTTTTTCGAACAACCTAGTATGAGAGCCTGTTCTAGTACACCCCCAAAACAAAATCAAGACTTTGTAAAAGAGCATAATAGGACCCCTTTAAGCTTGCTCTGCCTGCTATATTATTTTCTCCTCTTTGTGTCCATCTTCAGCATCTCTGGCCGTTTACAGACTTTGTGATATTTCAACACAAATGACATTCTGGAAAATGAATGCAATGCAGTCCAGGGATCAACCGAAATAAAGCAAAAACCAGTCGGTTCCGATTTATGGTCGGTACTTACTGGAGTATTTTAAAAAAAATTTTACTGAAGTAAAACAAATATTAAATACATAAAAATACAGCATAATAACAATAAAGCATAAATTGATGCGTATTTATTTAATCAAAGATCACACCTGAGACCTTTGTGCCTACATTTTTCCATGAAGGACCAATTAAGGGCTGCTATACGAAGGATGCTGTCCTAAATTCAGATTTGATGGGTGTTAAATATTTTCCTGAGATCTGGGAGAAAATGTTTTAATACTAGAAACACAGTCCTCATCTTCAGGCAGTTGATGTGCCAAGAGAGATTAAGGCCATCCCAGCGACCAAAGCCTGTGGCAAGTGACCCTTTTCAGAGGAGCCAGGGTGAATTACACTGGCAGCTGCAGCCATAAGACCCAACAGTATCTGGTATTGAAGGTCAGAAACCTCCTGACCTAGCCTCAGACTGTCTACCATGGCGAGAATGAAATCCACCCAGGAAGGGGACAACTGTTCCCACATTGTGGTCGAATCACAAATCACCCAGAGTAACATAGTTCTCTGACTAGGAGACAGAACACTCTTGTGATTTAACCTCAGTCCAGAAGGGACAGAGGGCGACATCTCCATGTCAAATTGCCATCTCCTCTGACTGAGCTAAAATAACCTAGTCATCAATGTAATTTAGTAAATGGATGCCCTGAAGTCACAAGGGACCCAGAGCTGCATCCATGCCCTTGGTGAAGTTTTGAGGAGACAAAACTAGGCCGAAGGGAAGAATCTGACATTGGTAAGCTCCCCCGCCCCGAAAAGCGAACCTCAGGAACTTCCTGTGGATGGGTAATAATTCTACATTAGATTTACATTTAATCATTTAACAGATGCTTTGGTCCAAAGCGATTTACAAAAGATGATAATACAAACAAATCAGTAAAATGACAACAAGTAAGTGCTGTGACAATTCCTAGTTAATCTAACACAGTATACGTAGCAATGGAATAGAAAGTGCTAATATTAATGGGTCAAGTGTTGACCAAGAAGATGCATCTTTAGCTGTTTCTTGACCATGGCTACTACATACTCAGCTGCTTGGATTGAGTTAGGCTGGTCATTCCACCAGCAGGGAACAGTCCAGGTAAAGGTCTGTGAAAGGTATTTAATGCTTCTTTAAGATGGCACCACAGTGTGACTTTCACTGCAGAATGCAAGCTTCTGGAAGGCACACAAGTCTGAAGTAACGGGTTTAGGTATAGGGGTGCAGAACCAGTGGTTGTTCTGTAGGCAAACATTTGTTCCTTGAATTTGATGTGAGCAGCTAATGACAACCAGTGCAAAGTGATGAAGAGAGGTGTGACGTGCGCTCTCTTTAGCTTGTTGAAGACCACTCTCACTGCTGCATTCTGGACCAGGTGCAAAGATTTGATAGTACATGCTGGAAACCCTGACAAAAGAGCATTACAATAGTCCAGCCTGGATAGAACAAGAGCTTGGATAATGAGTTGTGTAGCATTCGCTGACAGGAAGGGCCTGATCTTCCTAATGTTGTATAAGACATCTGCAGGAATAGGCAGTTTTAGTAATGTGGTCTGTGAAGTTTAACTGATCATCCATGAGAACTCCCAAGGTTCCAGGCTGTCCTGGAAAGAGTTATGGTTGATGCGCCTAGCTGAATGGAGAAGTTGTGGTGAAGTTTTGGGTTGGACAAAACCACAAGCAGTTCTGTCTTGGTAAGATTGAGTTGAAGGTGATGGTCCTTCATCCAGAAAGAAATGTCTGTCATGCAGGCTAAGATATGAGCAGCTACCTTTGGATCATCCAGCTGGAGTGAGCGGTAGAGTTGTGTGTTATCAACATAGCTTTGATAGGAAAAGGCATGCTTCTGAATTACAGATCCTAGTGACGACACGTAGATAGAAAAGAGAAGTGGTCTAAGCACTGAGCCCTGAGGCACCCCTGTACCTAGATGTTGCGGCTTAAGACACCTTACCCCTTCAAGTCACCATGAAGATCATACCTAGAGGTAAGACTCGAACCACTGGAGTGAGTTCTTGCAACCCTCATTGTCATGAGAGTTGACAGAAGGATATGGTGGTGTCAAAAGCAGCAGACTGATCGAGCAAGACAAGTACTGATAATTTGGAAGCTACTCTCACCAGTCTCAGAGCTTCAACAACAGAGAGCAGGGCAGTCTCGGTTGAGTGGCCACTTTTGAAGCAGGTTGTTCTGTGCAAGAAATGCAGAGACTTGGTTGAACACTACTTGCTCAAGTGATTTTGCAATGAATGGAAGAAGGGATACTGGTCTGTAGTTCTCTAAAAGTGCTGGGTTTAGCAGTTTCTTAAGCAGTGAGGTTATCTGGGCCTGCTTAAATACTGTAGGAAATGTACCATTGATGTTATGAGTGAGTGCCAGTACAACTATAAGAAAAATGGCTTAAAGGACATAAGTGGGGATAGAATGAAGGATGTTCTTCCAGCAGCTCCATCTGCAAGCCTGATGCTCTAAGTTGGTGCACCACCTCGGCGGACACATGACCCAAACCACAGGGAGTAGAAACAAACTCTCCTTCGTCATTGAGGAGGGCGAGGCAGGAACGGAGCTTCCCTAACTATTAATTGATTTAACCTCCAGTGTGCTATTTGTCTGCATTTGTTTCTGAACAGTTTGAAACTGTTTTTTTTATCAGTTTGGAACTTTTCCAGCTTTTGAATGCATCCAGTGATTCTCAGAGTGATAGTGCCCAGTAAATGCATAATATTTTAAGGAATGCGAAACCATAGTCCATGGATATGTACTGTTTAATGCTAATTCAATGCATTATTTAATATGGCACATGTGTGTCCTAGGGATGCAGTGGAGAAGACGTTTCCAGCTAAGATAAGCAGACGGAGGAGGGTTCTCCAGCGTAACCAGCGGTTCCATTATTTTCTCCAGATATTCCAACAGTATGGGCAGGTACTGAAGCAACAAATTCCTGTATCAGAAGGCCTACAGCAAGCTATACTAAACAGCTTTTGTTCTGGAGTCATGATGGCATTGATCTGCATGGGGGTGAGATGCGCTTTCTCATATACATACTCAAAGATTGAAGAGTTCTTGATGGGGGTTCGGTTGTGCACAGGACATAACACCTTGTGAATGTTTCTAGGTTATATTGTTGCGATATCACTGGATCAGTGCTGATTCTAATTATGACATCTTGGTCCAGAAGCCAATCAACAGGTGGCAATCCCATGATGTCATTCTGTGGGTGGAGCATCTGGGTCCCTGGACCAATCAGTACAGAGAAATGTTCCACAGAGCACAGATTAATGGCAGGTGGGTACTATCCACACGGAAACACAATTCAAACATTATTACATTGTTTTTCATTTTAGTGTCATTTATGGCTTTATTAGTTATTTGAAATAAAATGTGTCCAACATGTTTTAATGGGGGAAAAAACAGTATTATAGGGTTTACTGGCTTTAATTCATTGTCAACAATGTTTCACACATTAAAATTACATAAAACATGTTTAAAGGGGTCCTATTATGCTTTTTTTACATTTAAAACTTTTAGTGCGTAATGTTGCTGTTTGTACATGAAAAAAGATCTGCACAGTTACAAAACACAAAGCCCATTTCACAGGGAATTATTCTCTATTTCAGTAAGTACTGTTTCTGAACTTGCTCAAACGCCTGATTGTGGTCTTGAGTTTTTATCTGGAAATGTACACATCACAATATCCCTCATTTAAATAATTCGTTAAAATTTTTAAAAATGAGGCATACACAAAAAATGAGAGGGGGAGAGGCCTGGTTTAGAGATGCTGTTTCACAGATCTCATATACTGATACACATGCACGCTGTCTATTTATTTGACATAACCTACTGCGTTTGTGAATTTTGTGTGTTTTTGACATAACCTTATGTGTATTTGATAGTTGATGAGAAAGAGCTTCATATCGGTGAGCATTTACTTCCGAGTCTACAATCCTCCACGCCTATTCAAACAGAGCGTTCTGATGAGGGGGGTTAAAAACAGGACAGAAAATACCTTATTACTTCTCAATTATGATGTTTTTTTTATGTAAAAATCTTGATAACATTATAAGTGGACCTCAGAGAACAGTACAAAATAAAAAGCAAAGGCAGTTCATGACCCTTTTAATGACAGCTGAGATCCTACAGCGTGCCATGAGGATCATGTTTGTGCTTGTACAGTCTGACAAACAACAATCGTAAAGGATTATTATAAATCGTACAGTGTGCCGGCTTTAGGTGGTTAGTGGTTTGACTCTACTATTGTCAATATGAGATCAAGTCAAAGACTGCAGTGATGCAACTACAATACAGAAATAAATGTTTTTATGGTTGTTGAAACAATGCTTGCCAAAATCAAAGCTAAAGGCTAAAGTCCAACCAATTTTGAAATGTGAGACTTCAATCATAGATTGAAAACTAATGAAAACAAACCACTAAAAAGCAAAATAGGAATACATTTTTTTTTGAAACTATAATATTCTTCATGTATACACTTGTTACAATAGGTAATGTTTACTTATCACCATTGATATGTGTGGGGGGTTTTTTCAGTTTGTTAGCTCATCTCAGAGACGAAGAACTGTCTGCTTCTCCATTCAATGTTAAGAATCCATCACACAGACAGGTCATACTGGAGGAAATCCAGAAAATCAAAGAGCTCAAAGTCAAACTACCACAAAACCTCTGGGAGTACAAGGTGTGTCTTGTGTTTTTCTGGTAATTATCTGTTTTTCATTCAGTAAAGAGCTCAGTCAAATCAAGATTTTCAATGAGAATTCTCAAAAGTCACTAAAAGTCTGCATTGGTCTATTGCAAATAAATAGTTAACAGTTGTGCTATTTCTAGTCACTCATTAATTTTACCCACCTCTGTTTGTTTGCTAAACCTCAATTGAGTTCCCCAATCATCAACGATGTTTGACCTCAGGGGCCCTTGCCACTTGGCAAGAAATTTGGAACTCATGTGAAGACTTTATCTCCTTGTGCAAAAATTCCTATAGCCAAGTACCCCTATTATACAGTTGGCTCTGATTTTCTTGAGCCTGGAGCAAATTCTCCTGCTTCAGTTGACCCATTGTGTGGAGTTTTTAATTTCCCCTTTGAGGGAACTTCAACATTATGTCAGAATGCTTAAGTGACAGGAATGCTTCTGCATGACCTGTGTCTGAAGCATGTGTAAAATCACTCCAGTCTCGTTTGCAAAACTCTGGAGTTTATGAAGGATACTCCACTGCCCACATCCACGCTACATTAGGGGAGGTGACACACTTGATCTGTGTGTGGTCTATATAGAAGAGGAGCATGGAGAAACAGCTCTCAAGGGAGCTGGCTGTGTTGATTGTGAGTGTCTGCCAGGAAAAATCCCCCACCTGTCTGTCTTTGAGGAGGGAGGCCAGGCACATGCCCACGAGTGAGGCCGATGTTGGCTATATCTAGCACTGTGAAGTTGGATGCTGTTAGCATCAAGGCAAGAAAGTTCAAGGATTCGCCATCTTTCTCCCCTGCTTACGAGGAGCTTGTGGAGCTTGTGACCCATGCTGTAGCCAAATTAAACATCAATTGACCAGCTGAGAAGAAAGAGCATCACAAGAGCAAGTTAGATGAGCACTTCCTGTCTAGTAAATCACATCCTCTGTGTCAAAGCCTACCTTTCTTTCTGGATCTCCATACAGAGGTGTCAAGATCCTAGACTAATCCTTTCTCCACCCATATAATTTGTCCTTCATTTTAAAATTATTCCTTGATTGTGGAATAAATGAACTGGGGTATGGGGCAATGCCCAGCTATCCCTCACCTGAGTTAGCATGGTCCCTAAAGGCTCCGATGCTACCAACCAAGCCATGAAGAGTTGACATCCTTGGTGGGTAAAGCTTATGCAACCGCAGGTCTTGCTGGGGTGTCTGCATACGGTGGCATTGTTGACCTGCTGTTGACCTACCAGGCTGACCTGCTGAAGGACATGCATGAAGGTTGGAGGGTGGGCAAGAGCTGTGCTGGGCCAGAGATTTGTCTCTCCAGGCATCTCTGGGTGAACCTTTCAGGAATAAAAGAGAGGGAAAAGTTCTTCTCCTGGGTTTTTGGCGACACAGTCAATACTGTCGTCGATAGGTTCTAGGATGAATCAGCTGCCCAATTATTTCAGTGCTGCAGTTCCATCAGGATCGCTTTTCCACAGAATTAACCTGTGTTCAATTAAAAGATGCTTTTATTCAAAGTGACTTACAAATGAGGAATACAACAAGTGATTCATCATAGATAAGTAAATAATAAACAAGAAGTTAACGTCCATCATCTGTCACAGGACTATGTTTCGCCATTGAGATTGGATTCATTTCACACGTGCTTCAGATGCAGGTCAAGTGTTCACATACTGTCAACATTCTGACACAGTGTCTAGTTCATGGAACCAGGGTTACAGTCGTAACCTAGAAATTTTACTGTTAGAAATGCCCTCCTCTCAATTTTCTCTTACGAGGTGCACTGCACTACAAGGCTTGTGTCCATACAATAATTCAATTCACGAGTTGGCACTTACATATAATCAGATTGTGCAAATAGTAAGCATATTTGAATGTGGAAGTGACGTGACATGTGGCCAAGTATGGTGACCCATACTTGGAATTAGTGCTCTGCATTTAACCCATCCAAAGTGCACACACACACAGTGAACACACACCCGGAGCAGTGGGCAGCCATTTATGCTGCGGCGCCCGGGGAGCAGTTGGGGGTTCGGTGCCTTGCTCAAGGGCACCTCAGTCATGGTAATGAAGGTGGAAGAGAGCACTGTACATTCACTCCCCCTTTGAGTTACGAGTCCGACTCTCTAACCATTAGGCCACGACTGCCCCCATTTGGCGTGCTGTCCTGAGGGAGGGCTCCGAGCTCGGAATATAGCCCAAACCCAGAGAACTCCCCCTAAGAAGCAAATGAGCATGAGACAGCAGCCAGAGAATAAATTTGTCTATTAACCCCACAAAATTGCATTCCACGAAGAGAAATGGGTTGGAATTTGCGAGGAGGAGGCAGAGCAACCAGGACAGCCCATGCAGTGTTCGACGGGAGCTTGCGACTTGCAGCATTGGATGGGTGAGCCCTGCCAATGAATAAGGAGCACGATGCGAAACACCAGATGGAGGACTCTCACTGCTTCCAATGGGACGGGAGAGCCCTACCTGGATTTGGTCTGCTTGATTGAGTTGGAAGACCCGCGCAGCATCCAATGGGAACAGGAAATCTTGGATGGGTAGGCCCCGCCTGTAAACAGTTGGGAGAGCTCGACCAACATTTTGGAGTGGCAGGGAAGATTTTGCAAAAATTGGCCCTGTCGCTGCCTCCAAACGGGGAGCCCACACTGCAACATGGACAGGGGCACCTTGTAAATAAAAATGGGCGAACTCTCAGTGCATTCGAACAAGGGGCTCAATATATATATATATATATATATATATATATATATATATATATATATATAAACTGGTGTTGGTTTAAAACTCTGCAAAACAGCAGTCTATAAAGTCAACATAAAATGGATTGTTTAAAATACTACTCATCGTAATGCATTAGTGTGTTGTTGCTTTAAAGAAGGTGTGTCCAAACTTGTTCCTGGAGGGCCAGTGTCCTGCAGAGTTTAGCTCCTAGTCATAATTAGGGTGCTTTCACACCTGTAGATCGATTGCTTTGTTCTGAAACGGGGATAAAAATTATTACAATGTTGCTTTTTATTCTTGGTGCGGTTCGCTTTCACACGGCAAAGTTTCTAAACGGACCAAATTTGTTAACACAAGTCATGCGCGAGTAAACTGTTCTCTCATTGGTCAAAGTTTCACGGTTTATTTTCCGGGATTCCACTGAGCTGTCACAGCTGTCATCCGTCAGGATGGAACAATAACAGCTTCGCGGGATTATTGTTGTTTTTTTTGTTTTTTTCATAGGTGTCGTTATATTAATTTATCATTTTGAGCAGGAGTCCAGGATTCATCGGGAAAACATTTTTAAAATGCACATACTAGGAAGAAGAGCAATAAGATGGCATTATAAAATGAAAAGGTGCGCTTTGGTTTTGAATGGCGAAGACGTGCTCACCCACAGACATTCACATGGTTCATTTTGAAGTATTAGCAAAACAACAAAGCTAATGCTTTTCACGGAGCTTATGTAATTACCCATTATACATTGTGATATAACCTGGTTCGTTGGTCCGTTAGATCGGATTGTTTTCTCACTACAACCGAATCGCTCCATCGACCCGAGACCACCTCGTTCAGGCGATCTCGGACTGATTGTTTTGGCGCAGATCCGAGCGCGATTGCCGTGTTCACATATGCCCAAACGAACTGAGGTAAATGGGGGGAAACACGCCAGGTTCCGAAACAACGAGCCAGGTGTGAAAGCACCCTTAAACACACCTGTACCAGTTAATCAAGGTTTTCAGTCTCACTAGAAACCTCCAGATAAGTAAGTTGGAGCTAGTTGGAACTAAAATCAGCAGGACGTTGGCCCTCCAAGAGCAGGATTGGACACACCTGCCTTAAACTCCAAGCTTTGTGGGAACATTCAAACTGTCCCATTTTAAATTTGGTCACCCTATCTAAATTTGAAAGAGGCCACTAACACATCAGAATTCACATTTTTTGTGTGTTTAAATTAGGGAGTGGAGTCCAAAAACATACACAAATGCTTTATTTATTTATTTGTCATATGTTTTGTAGTCCATTCTTTAGTAACTGGTTTATTAAGCCTTTGATTAAGAATATTTACTGCCTATTCTTTTAATGGATAATAACTTTTGTGATTGTGTGTGTATAATTCTCTTTCCTGGTCAAGGCTGCAAATTTAGGAAAATCACTGTTTCTCCAGTTTGGTCTGAGAGAATTTCCACGTCTCACTTTTCTCTACTTGTACCTGTTTGATTATGAAGACACCTTTCTACCCTTCATACACACCTGCTGTCCTGCACACATAACTAATGCAATGCAGGATATCCCACCTGACAACATACTGGTTTGTGTCCGAGATCTCTCCCCATTGTAAACTTACAACAGTTGAAATATTAGAACAGGGAGTAACTGTGTGTTTGTAGCAGGAGCCAAGCCAACTTCAGTGGGTGAAGTTTCGTGTGAAGGTTTTTCTGATGCCCTATGTGCTACTGATTGACTTTGCTTGGCAATGGCTGAGCGTTCATTACTGGATATCATGGATTGTCATTGGTAATGCCATGGCAATGACAGTAATGGAGTACGTTTATGTCTGGACACTGTGGAGAAGAAGACAGATGAGGTACACACATGTACTTATTCTATATATATATACAGTACATACTGTAAATACAGTGTAGTTATATGCGGTTGTTTGATTCGATCACAAATGATTTGAATCAGATAACCTGAAAGATCTTAAAACACTAATGACTTAATTTACACACGATATAGAGAAAATTGCTTTACACTCCACATCCACAAGTCAAATATTGTGTGTTTGTGTGTATATTTCAGTACTCTCCCTAAGATGATTCTGCAGAAGATGTTCAATATGTTCTTCGTTGTGCTGCTGTGGCCTCTGATGCCTCAGTTCTTCTGTGACTTTGAATTCTACTGCGGACTCTTTTTCAGCTCATTCGTTTATATCTCTGTTCGGAAATCTTTTTTTTAAGCTGGCACAGCAATAAATACCTAAACATGTTAAGATTTTCTTTTTCTTTTTAAGAGTCAGAAAATTTGACGTTCTACAGTACAATTGCTATTTTTATTACAAAATACACTTGCTTGAATGTAATAACAAGGCCATATTTTGTGTTTCATTCACCTAATAACCATCACTTCAACCAACAAGCCTGCAGGGTTGCATATTAGCTTTACTTAACCAACTATAATAACTTCACTATTAAGCTTCACAGCAATTAAGCAAGTGTTTTCACTTTTTTAACATTGTTATATTTTTCTATATTTATTTGATTTATTTCATCTTTAGAATCTCATCCCCTCAAAAACCTAACCCAACCATTAAAACCTGGAGTGAGGAATATACCCCCTTGTCTTAATAAGGAAATGTTTTAAATAACTAAGCATACTGTAATAACTGCACATAATGCAATATTTATTATATTATTAATTTCATAAAATGTTCATAACGTAATCATTTTCTCAATAAAATCTTGGGCTCATAATATAATATTAATTTGTACATAATGAGAAATCTATTACATTATAAACTGACCAAAAATATTGTCAATGTCATAATTGTAATAGTTTTTTTAAACATAAAAACATTAGCATTCCCTTACAGAACATTTTAAAAATCTAAGTCTAATTCAGATAGCATGAGATTATGCTATTATTATTATTGATAATGATATTGATATTATTAGTATTATCACGGTACATTACTTCTTATATATATATATATATATACATCAGCCAAAGACACTAAGGCTTTAATTAAAATACAATATAAAAGATTATTTAATTTGACAATAAAGTGTTATACTATATATACTATATTATATTGCAGTTTTTTCTTTCGTTTTGCTTATCTGTTAATCAAGTCAAATATATTTAGCATATTTATTCCTTTTATATATAGACTATGATTTTATGAAAACAATTTTATTATTTTTATTTTATTTTATAATGTGACTTATATACAGTTTTCCTTAAATCATCCTGGTGAACCATTTTTTATGTCTGGGGTTTGAAAATAAATAACTGTAGAATATAAATAACTATCTATAAAAAAAACACACAAAAAAACTAGAATTACATAAAAGTGTAAACTTTATTTATTTATTTTTTAAATTTAGTACATAACTAAAATGTGTTTCTGGGTTAAAGTGACTCAAAATGATCAATGAGATCAAAGAATCAATAAAAATAATAATTCGCAATATAGCCTAAAAAGCCTCATTTTCTTTTAATGTAATAGCTTATTTTACATAAACTATTATTATGATTTGTGCTCAGATTTATTATACTGAAAGATCATTATTATATTGTAAAAATTGTTTTATATTATGGTATTTTCTTATGTAATGTGATTACATTATAAGTTGCCAGTTTTCATAAGTAATAAATATATTTCTCATACAATAAGCATTACACATTGTGAAAAAATATTACATTATGAGCTCAAGATTTTATTACATTGTGAAAAAAATTATATGATGAACATTTTATGACATTAATAATGTAATACTTATTAGATTAAGTGCAGTTATTTTAGTATGCTTAGTTATTACAAGTTGGTACACATACTGTAATAGCTGGACATAATGTAATAAGTATTACATTATTAATGTCATAAAATGGTTCAAAATGTAATCATTTTCTTAATTAAATTAATAAAAACTAGACTGAATTTTATTGCATAATTTTAAAATAAAACCCATTTAAAACAGTGTTGTACATCATTGCTGCAGTTTCTGTATTTACTCATTTGTGAGACCCCAGTCACAGAAATGTTGTCACTTTTTATTTATCATATATTTATCTGTTTAAACATCATAACAAATACATGGTACTGGTAGTTTCTCCTGACAGCTATACTATTCTCACATTTATAATGTGTCATTTTCTTAACAAAGTACTATAAGTAACTATGGTTTAGTGTGTTACCATCTCTCTATTATGATTTTACTGTCAAAGAAAATTTTTGTAATTGTTTCATTGCCTATTTCTACATTATTTTTATGTTCATAAAAATATTTGTCATCCTCATCATTACTGTCCTCTTTTATGTTTTAAAATTATGATCTAATTGATTGCAATTTGCACAGACCTGTTGTTGTAGTATTATGATTTACTTATATTGTTCATTTATACTGAGGCTGTAAAATAAAAAGCATCTCCAGTTGAACTTGTCAGGCCTATCATGAGTATCATATGTGTTTTATGTGATGTGTATGTGTTGTATGTATAAAATTACAAATAATGTGCAGGTATCACTTGAATCATTATGTAAATAAGTATTTAAATGTTATCTTCTTCCAAGCAAATAATTTACCATTTATAAAAATGTTTAATAAAACAACATATCAAAGTGAATACTGAACATCAGTTCTCAGAATCTGCAGAAAAATGTCTTCCAGTGTCAGCTTAATGTTGTGAATTAAATTAGAGTACTAGTAGTGAGAATGTCTAATATAATGTTTAATTCATTGTTTTTCAATAATAACAACAGAAAGTTTAAATATTAATTTATTGTGCTGTTCAGCTTTAACCCTTAAATGCATACCTCGGGTCTTTAGCGACCCGGTACGTCATTCACTGTTAGGTAGCACCTCCCAACATTTACTCAATGTCTGGTATCATAGCTGGCAAACATGGATTGACTCCAGTTAAAGAATCATGCACGGGATGAGTGTATCTCCAATAACACTGCTATTTATTCCAGACCAGCAGTAATATCCATTAAATTATATAAGGCACATTGAGGTAGAGTACCCGTTACTTTGTGGTCTGTAAAAACAAATAGAGCGCAGCAGTGTTCACAACAGTCTGTGAGCCATGATAGTTTTTAAAGTCTTTCTTTTCAGAGAGCGACTCCAGGAACCTGTGAGGAAAAAACAGCGGGGTAGAGGATTATAGCGCTCAAATGTGAGTGAGCTTACGTCGGCTCAAGGCCAGCGTACCTCACTCTCTCCACAAAGAGAGGTTTCCCACGTCTCGTTCTCCCACCCAGACCAGCGCCCCTCTGCCATCGCGAGCGACCTGGTCTCGTTTGGGGGATTGGATGATGAGCCGCTTGATGACCGTATGTCCCTAGCAGCCTCGGACGATGTGGATTGGTCGGGCTCCGTTGCTGACCCCGCCCCCTTGCCGTCTGTGGAGCCGATCGACGCCAGGGTTGGTATGGACACCGAGCTCATCCATGTCCTATCAAAAGCCGTAGAGGAGGAGCTTGGATTGGAGTGGTCTTCACCTAAAGAGCCCACTCGCAGTCGCCTGAACGAGTGGTTTCTGCTGGGATGCCACCAGACCCCTCCTCAGCAAGCTGCACCCTTCTTTCCAGAGGTTAACGACGAGCTGACGAAGTCGTGGCGTGCCCCCTACTCAGCGCGTTTACGCTCCTTTGCCTCTCCCGCCCTCACTACGGTCGACAGCGCTGCGCAGAAGGGCTACGATAAGCTGCCTCCTCCGGACGAAGCGGTGGCTGCACACCTCTGCACCCCCGCGGCCATCGGATGGAAGACAAAGGCTGCTCATCCTTCTAAGCCCTGTCAAACGACTTCAGCCCTCGCTGGTCGTGCTTACACCTCGGCAGGCCAGGCTGTGTCTGTGTTACACTCTATAACGGTGCTCCAAGTGTACAAAAAGCGAAGCTCCTTTGCGCCACGGATTAGTCTGGGCCAGAACACTCCGCAGCGCTCAGAGAGCTGCGCAGCACCACCGATTTGGCCCTGCGCGCCACAAAGATGACTGCACAGGCCATTGGGAGGTCGATGGCCAGCCTGGTGGTGCTGGAGCGCCACTTGTGGCTGAATTTGATGGAGATCAAAGTTGTGGCTGAATTTGACGGGTATCAAAGAAGCGGATAAGATCTTCCTTGACTCCCCAGTCTTTCCCGCTGGCCTTTTCGAACCTGCTGTGGAAGGGTTCACCAAGCATTTCACGGCTGCACAGAAGTCGTCCCAAGCCATACGACACTTCCTGCCGAAGCATTCCAGTTCTGCAGCTGCTGCCAGTCGCCCCAAGCCTGCACCGACTCAACAGCCAGCCAAGACCACGCCTCCTGCTGCTCAGCCCTCTGCACGGCCTGAGCCCAGGCAGCGCTCGCGGTCTGCAAAGCGCTATCCTTTCCCGAAGCGCCAGGGACCCCGGCCCAAGATTGTGCCGGACCCTACGCCTCAGAAGCCGTCCTGATCCCTCAGGAAGGAAGAGGAGGGGGCCAAGTCTCGCTGCGGCCGGACCACCCCCCAAACAGCCTCGTATGTGTTCCCAGTCGCCCCGTTCAGTTCTGGGTGCTGGGAAAAATGTGTTTATTGCATGCAAAGAGCCTGTTCTAGCGCCCAAGTGTATAACCGCTGTGATAGCGGACAAAATAAAACACAAACACACTCAAAAAGAAAGCAAATTTCCTCTTCCAATCACGGCGAGCCCTGGGTCCCTTCACAGTGACCCACCGCCCGAACCAATTCAACCCCTTGTCACAAGGGCCGAGGCCTGGCAGGCCATCCCGGCGTGTCAAAATGGGTTATGGGGATGATAAAACGAGGTTATCTACTCCCAATTAGCTCGAGAACCTCCGTGTTTCTGCGGTGTGATCCCCACCTTAGTAGGGAACAGGAACACTCGCGTTCTACGTTCTGAGGTGGCTGTGTTGCTGGCGAAACAGGCCATAGAAATCATCCCGCCAGCTCAGAGCAAATCAGGCTTTTACAGCCATTACTTCCTCGTCCCCAAAAAGGATGGCGGCCTCAGGCCCATACTCGATCTCAGGCTTTTGAACCGCGCCCTAGTAAAGTGCACGTTCAGAATGACCACTTTGAAACAGATCCTCTCACTAATTCGCCTGGGACTGGTTCTTCTCTCTGGATCTGAAAGACGCTTACTTTCACATTCAGATAGCCCCCCGCCACAGGTGCTTCTTGAGATTCGCCTTCGAGGGAGTGGCATATCAATATATGGTCCTTCCATTCGAGCTGTCTCTAGCCCCACGCACTTTTACGAAGTGCATAGAGTGGCTCTTTCTCCTCTGAGACAGATGGGAATCCGCATTCTGAATTACCTCGATGACTGGCTTGTCTTAGCCCAGTCAGAGGCCGATCTAATATCCCACAGATCCTTCCTCCTCAACCACTTAGAGTGCTTGGGGCTCAGGGTCAATTATGCCAAAAGCTCGATGAATCCCAGCCAACAAATCTAATTTCTGGGGACTGTCATAGCCCATTCCCCTGAGATGGGACCTCCTCTCTCAGGAGAACATGATGATATGGCACCCCCAGCCCGAGCTGTGGGCCCTACACTTATGGCCTCTCGATGGGAGCCAATGAACCTCCCAGAAGGTGTCTTAAATTCCATTTCTCAGGCTAGAGCCCCGTCCACAAGGCACCTCTATGCTTTCAAATGGTCAGTCTTAATCGTTTGGTGCACAAACTGTGGTGAAGATCCACCCACATGCGACATATCTTCGATATTGTCCTTCCTTCAAGAGCTGTTGGATAAGGGTTGCACCCCCTCCACTCTTAAGGTCTATGTGGCGGCTATAGCAGCTTTTCACGCTTCTATAGATGGGATATCAGTTGGCAGGAACAACCTCATTATTCGATTTTTAAAAGGGTCTAGGAGGTTGAACCCCCCTCGCCCTTTTACTGTCCCTACATGGGATCTGTCTACAGTTCTGAGGGAGCTAGCTTAAAAGCCCTCCCTTTGAACCGCTGTAATCCGCCGATATTCGACCCCTGTCGCTCAAAACCGCTCTGATATTAGCTTTGGCATCGGTTGAGCGAGTTGGAGATTTACAGGCGCCCTCTGTGAGCCCCTCCTGCCTTGAATTCGGGCCTAACGACTCTAAGGTCGTCTTGAAACCTAGGCATGGTTACGTACCTAAGGTGCTCTCTACTCCATTCAGAGCACAAGTAATCACGCTCTCTGCGCTCCCTCTCTTGCAGGAGGACCAGGAGCTAAATCTGCTCTGTCCTGTCAGGACGTTGAAAATCTACATTGGATTCCGGTGGCGTCATCTTCCTGTATGGCAGCTTAAACAACAGCTCCTCCGGGAAAACCACTTATTTGCCCCGTTAAATCACCAAATATAACTTTTTCTCGACTTTGCCTGTTTCGATAAGCGGGGCAAGAATGAGGAGAAGAGATGGAAATAAAAAATGCACTGCTGGAGAAACGGTGAACGAAGAAAACGCAAACAACAGCTCCCCGTCGCAGGCACAAGATGCCCTTGCCCCTTGGAAGGACCCTTCGTAGTTCAAACAGGGTGTACCCCTGGGGATGATGCACAAAAGGAAGATCATCTTCACAGATGCGTCAAACACAGGCTGGGGAGCCCTGTGTGACGGCAGAACAGCCTTTGGCATGTGGTCGAGCGAAGAGACAAAGCTGCACATCAACTACCTGGTAATGCTGGCAGTATGGCAGGCCTTACAGTCCTTCCTACCACATCTAGAAGGACGTCATGTCTTAGTCCGATCAGACAACATGACGGTAGTGTCCTACGTAAATCGCCAGGGCGGCCTTTCCTCCCCATGCCTCTTCAAGATGGCGAAGAGCCTTCTGGAGTGGGCACATTGCCACCTGCGCTCTCTGAAAGCAGTGCACGTGCCAGGCAAACTGAACCGGGGAGCAGACATGTTGTCTCGGAGCAACGTCCCCTCTGGCGAGTGGATGCTACAACCCCAGATGGTTCGGAGAATATGGGAGATCTTCGGGGAGGCAGAGGTCGACCTCTTCACCTCAGAAGACAACTCTCACTGCCCAATCTATTTTTTTCGAAGGAAAGGGATGCACTGGCCCAGCCTTCTCCTTTACGCTTTTCCCCCAATCGCCTTGATCCCTCAGGTTATCAAGCGAATCAGGGAACAAAAACACAAGGTTCTTCTAGTGGCCCCGCTCTGGAGAAACCAACTCTGGTTCTCAGAGATGTCTCAGCTCCTCACGTCAGCTCCGTAGCCCATTCCCCTGAGATGGGACCTCCTCTCTCAGGAGAACATGATGATATGGCACCCCCAGCCCGAGCTGTGGGCCCTACACTTATGGTCTCTCGATGGAAGCCTATGAACCTCCCAGAGGGTGTCTTAAATACCATTTCTCAGGCTAGATCTCTGTCCACAAGGCACCTCTACGCTCTTAAATGGTCAGTCTTCACTGCTTGGTGAACAAACCGCGGTAACGATCCACCCACATGCGACATATCTTCGATATTGTCCTTCCTTCAAGAGCTGTTGGATAAGGGTTGCACCCCCTCCACTCTTAAGGTCTATGTGGCGGCTATAGCAGCTTTTCACGCTTCTATAGATGGGATATCAGTTGGCAGGAACAACCTCATTATTCGATTTTTAAAAGGGTCTAGGAGGTTGAACCCCCCTCGCCCTTTTACTGTCCCTACATGGGATCTGTCTACAGTTCTGAGGGAGCTTAAAAGCCCTCCCTTTGAACCGCTGTAATCCGCCGATATTCGACCCCTGTCGCTCAAAACCGCTCTGATATTAGCTTTGGCATCGGTTGAGCGAGTTGGAGATTTACAGGCGCCCTCTGTGAGCCCCTCCTGCCTTGAATTCGGGCCTAACGACTCTAAGGTCGTCTTGAAACCTAGGCATGGTTACGTACCTAAGGTGCTCTCTACTCCATTCAGAGCACAAGTAATCACGCTCTCTGCGCTCCCTCTCTTGCAGGAGGACCAGGAGCTAAATCTGCTCTGTCCTGTCAGGACGTTGAAAATCTACATTGGATTCCGGTGGCGTCATCTTCCTGTATGGCAGCTTAAACAACAGCTCCTCCGGGAAAACCACTTATTTGCCCCGTTAAATCACCAAATATAACTTTTTCTCGACTTTGCCTGTTTCGATAAGCGGGGCAAGAATGAGGAGAAGAGATGGAAATAAAAAATGCACTGCTGGAGAAACGGTGAACGAAGAAAACGCAAACAACAGCTCCCCGTCGCAGGCACAAGATGGTGAAGCTAATGCTAATACTCATCTGAGTGATGCGGCAAGTTTGACAAAAGTTCTTGAGGAGATGAGGGAATTTCGCAAAGACACAAAACAACAACTAAACGAGATTTTCACCGAACTCACCAGTGTTAATCAAAAGATTGCGGAGGCGGAAACGCAAATTGGAAAAGTAGAAAACCGCGTTCAAAACATAGAACAGGTGATGAGCAAGATGATAAAAGTGATGAACCAACAGGAAAATAAACTTCTCGACCAAGAAGGGAGATCACGACGAGAGAATATAAGGATCTATAATGTTCCCGAAGGAGCAGAGGGGGCGTCAATGACGCTGTTTGTGGAAAAGTTACTATGGGACGAGCTGGAGATCCCCTCAACTACAGATCTTGGCATCGAGAGAGCTCACCGGGCACTCGCACCGAAACCCTCTGGCAACAGAGAAGGTAGACCGCGGTCAATAATAATCAAATTCCACCGCTACAAAATCAAAGAAGAGATTCTGTGCAAAGCCTGTGGAAAGAAGGTGTTTTTGAATGAAAGACCAATATACTTCGACTGAGATTACCCTCCGGCAATTCTACAGAAACGCAAGGAATACTCCGAAGCCAAACTGGTTCTAAAACAGAAACAGATACGCTTCCAGACCCCGTTTCCAGCTAAACTACGGGTGTTTTATGGTGACGGGACGCGACTGTATCAATCGGCAGAGGAGGCGACTGCAGACATGAAGGACAGAGGATTGCCCATCAGTGTAATCACACCGAGAGAGAGTCTTGCTGAGCAACTATCCCGTACGGCCTGGGAGACGACGAGAGGACTGAGACAACAGGGTATGGAAGAAGAACGTGAGAGGAACATTAGAGAGAGGTTGCACGTTTTCAGAAGACGACCCCTATCTCCTCCAGGGGAACTTTAAACCTGAACTAATTTCAAATTTCCGGTGAGCTAAGCAAACCATGAAAGAGATGGTGATATTTTCAGTTTGAGAATCATATACAATAATGTGAATTTTTCTTTATCTAAGTTTATTTTTATATAGTTACTTATCTATATACATCCTTCTCCCCTATTTAAATGAGAATATATACAAGGGAGGAATACGTAAGGACCACTGATATAAATGAAGAAGAATTAAAGACTGCAATTAGTAGACTCAAATTAGGTAAGTCACCCGGATCAGATGGTTATATGGCAGAGTGGTATAAGGAGCTTAAAAATGAACTAATTCCTGTCATACTCCCT